CCACCCCACATCTTGGGCGGGGTCACCGACAAGGATGCATCCAGACCCCATCGAGGCCCCTGAAGCCCGGCCGCTACACTCATGAGGAAAAGGCAAACTGCTTCTCGCTGGGTCTGCTCCTCCTCTTCCTCTCTTGCCTTCCTTTATCTCCCCTGGTCTCACATCACAAAGCTTTCCCTTCTCTCAATCTGGCTTTCCACTGTGTTTCTTTGAAATTTGCTAACTTGACCATTTCCCTTATTTTTCTCTTTTTAAAAGATTTATTTATGGGGACGGTGCTGTGGTGTAGAAGGTTAAGCCTCCATCTACTGTGCCGGCATCCATTATAGGTGCCGGTTCAAGTCCCGGCTGCTCCACTTCTGATCCAGCTCCCTGCTAATGCGCTTGGGGAAGCAGTAGAAGATAGGCCAAGTGCTTGGGCCCCTGCACCCACGTGGGAGACCTGGAGGAAGCTCCTGGCTCCTGGCTTTGGCTCAGCCCAGCTCTGGCCTTTGCAGCCATTTGGGGGGTGAACTGGCGGATGGAAGATCTTTGTCTCTCCCGCTCTCTCTCTGTAACTTTGCCTTTCAAAGAAAATAAATAAATCTTTAAAAAACAAAAATCCAGGGCTGGTGCTGTGACGTAGTGGGTGAAGCTTCCGGCATCCCATCTGGGTGCCCCTTTGAATCCCGGCTGCTCCACTTCCAATCCAGCTCCCTGCTGATGCACCTGGGAAAGCAGCAGAGCTGGCCCAAGTGTTTGGGCCCCTGCCACCCATGTGGAAGACCTGGAGGAAGCTCCTGGCTCCTGGCTTTGGCCCATCCTAGCTCCAGCTGTTGCAGTCATTTGGGGAGTGAACCAGCGGATGGAAGATCTCTCTCTCTCTTCTCTCTCTGCACCTCTGCCTTTTAAATAAATAAATAAATAAATAAATTTTTTAAAAGAAAGGCAGAATTACAGAGAGAGAGAGGGAGAGACAGAGATTTTCCATCCACTCCCCAGGTGACTGCAAAAACAGCCAGGGCTGGGCTAGGCCGAAGCCAGGAGCCAGGAGCTTCATCCCGGTCTTCCACGTGGACAGCAGGGGCCCAAGCACGTGGGCCATCTTCTGCTGCTTTCCTGGGCGCATTATTAGCAGGGAGCTGGATTAGAAGCAGAGCAGCCGGGATTTGAAAGTGCTCACATGGGATGCCGGCGCTGCAGGTGGCGGCTTAACCTCGAACTCGGACCCCGACCCCTTCCAAGCCTGCTGTGGTCTTCAGGAGTGCCCCCCTCCTGCCTACAGGTTCTCCCCGTCACTCCCTCCTGTTGTCGCCGTCATCACCAGGTGAGCTGCTGAGTAAGCGACCCCCGATGAAGGTGCTGAGCCGGCGTCAGCTGCTTCTGCACAGCCCCGCGCCCCTCGTGTCCTTCTGCCGACACGAGCTACAGTTCGATTTAGGAAAATACGGCTGACGTTTCACGAGGGCGCCTACTTCCAGCACGATTTCCTTCCTCCCGTGTTGCATCAGTGCGAAAAGAGGCTTCCAGGAATGGCGCCCCTCCTCGCTCGCGATGGCTGCGTTTCGAAGCGGAGATTGATTCTGACTCGAGTCCTTCTCTCTGACTCTCGCCTTCTCACTGCTTTGCTTGGATTGTTTCAGACCGGCGGGCAGCACTGGCACCGCCACCAGCCACAGCCTCCCAACGCCGAGTTTCACCCAGTAAGTGCCGGCGGACGTCCCAAGCTCCAAGAACGAAGTCGGCTTCGTGTTCCTTGACGTACGACAAGGCGTTCAGCCTTCACGATATCAGACCCATCTCACAGGAGGGGCCGCTGAGAGCCGGGGAACTTGAGTGACGTGGCCGAGACCACACTGCCCGACACTGCGGCAGAAGAGCTAGGACAGGGTTCTGCCTGCCGTGGAGGCACGGCCCTGACCACTGCCCAGCTCCACCGGCGCCCCCAGCCCTCCCGACATAAAGGGGTCGACATAAAGGTGGCAGGTTCTGGAAGTGCGAGGGTGGGAAGCAAGGTTCTGCTCCTCCTCTGGGCTGTGGATGGCAGGAGGGGGAGGTAGAACAGTAGAGATGGTGTCTGAGCCCAGGGGTCTGCAGGGAAAAGAGGAGAAACTCGGGCCACCGGTGCCCACAAAACCTCTCCAGCACCCCTTCTGCCTCCACTTGCAACTCCAGACTGGCTGAACCCCTTGGGGGCCCTGAGGTCTGGGGGGCCTGGTGGGGGTGCCCCCAGGTGCCGTGCGCAGAGTCGGATGTGCCCGTCACAGTGGTACGTGTACCGGGGCTGCCCCTCTGCAGGGCCAGCCGCCCCCCACCCTGCTGGGCACGTCCAGTCCCCTGTGCAGAGCTCCAGGTGCCCTCACCCAGGTCCCGCAGAGGCAGGGCCGAGAGAAGCAGAGCGAGCCGTGGAGGGTGTAGGGCCAGTGCAGGAGGCCAATAAATCCCCCAAGGCAATTACAGCGGTGAGTGAGGCATAAACAAGGCGCTGTGCCTGCCGCAGCCAGCCCTCCCCTGCACGCACGTGCACGGGCACACGCGCGCGCGCGCACACACACACACACACACGCAGAAGCCGGCCCATCTGCAGGGTAATGGCTTTGCGACAGTGCGAATTATCCAAAGCACCAGAGGCAGCTCAGTGGGCGGGGCAGGCTGGGGGCAGGTGCGCACTGGGCCTGGGGGAGGCCAAGGGCAGGGGCAGGTGCCCACAGGCTAGGACTTGGCCTCCTGGGCACCTGCAGGGGTGGCAGGCACACGGTGGGCCTGCAGAGGGAGGGCCAGGTGGACCTGAAAACAAGGCGAAGTGTGCAGCTCCTCGCCCCCACACCCTGACCCCAGGGCTGTGTCCTGCCCAGCCCTAGACTGCTGCACCTGGAGGCCTAGACAGGGGCAGAGGGTGACGGGAGATGAAAGGGAGCCCAGGAAGGGGGACCCGTGTGCTGGGCGTGGTGCGACGGGGTGGCTGGGTCTGCACTAGTTGATTGTTGCTCTCCGTGACTGTCATGGGATCAGGACTGGGCTGCCCAGCAGGGCTGGGGAGGAGAGGGCTCAGGGAGACCACGGCTTCCTTCCCCCGATCAGGAACGGTGGAAAGAACCACCACCACATCCTCAGAGGAGACCCCCAAGTGCCTGTGTTAGGCTGAACAGAGGGGGCTGGTGTCTCCCAGCTTTGGTAGGGGCAGCAAAACTCCTGCACAGAAATCGGGCAAGCCGGAGCTCTCGGGCTCCTCGGGACCCCGGGACTCCCGGTGCGATGGGGGTGGGGCTGGTCCCTGGGGTCCCTGGGGTGCCCGGCTGGCGAGCGGAGCCCATGAGCCTGACATTAAAGCCGGGGTTCCGTGACTCCGGCAGCAGCAGAGCGTTCTGCCCACCTGCAGGCACACCCAGATTGCATTTGCTGAAATAAATTGCTGGAGAAAATAAATCCTGCACACATGATTAATGGGAGGCAGAGAGGCAGGCAGCCGCCACGAGGAGCCGCTGGGGAACGGAGTGACAGGCGCGGAGCCAGCGCAGCCGCGGGGCCTCCGGGAGAGGGTTCTGGCAACTGCTCGGCCACCAGGGTCATCGTGGCCCTGGCACTGCACGGCAAAAGGGGGCCAGGGACGTGGGCCAGCCCCCAGCTTGGCTCGGCACCACCGAGGGGGCTGCCCTGGGGGCTGGTCCTGAGCTTGGTGCTCTGACTTGGTCCTAACCACCCCTCTGGCGACCAGGAGACCAGCCCACCCCACCCTGCACTGGGCCAGAGTAGGGAGGAAACAAAGCCAGGGGCTCCTGTGGGGTGCCAGCGCTGCAGGTGGCGGCTTAACCTCGAACTCGGACCCTGACCCCTGAGGAGGGTGAGGAGGTGGAGGCAAGGATTTCTTTTCTGAGCAGCTGTGAGCAAATCACATCCTGTCCCTGGGCCTCAGTTTTCTCTTCTGACAAATGGGACTGACAGCCGTGTCTTCTCCGTAAGGTCACTGAGGGGCTCGGGAGACCACTGGGCAGAGCACTTACCAGGGTGGCAGGCACGCAGGGAGCCGTGCCCAGCCACAGGGCGCGCCAGCAGCCGTGCTGCGCCGGATCTGTGTTGGGGCTGTGTGCAAGCCCTGTCCTGATGCAGCCCGCGGGCTCCACGGAGGCAGCAAATGTTGACGCGCTAGAGTGGAGAAACACTTCCGAGTGCTGGGGCCGGGGCGGGCTTGTTTAAAACCTGCAGCTCAGAGCGGTTCCCTGGGGACAGAGGGCACTGGACACAAGTGAGTTTGTGGCAAAACCCAGAAGCCTGACGGTGCACGCGCTGGGAGCGTCTCGCTCACTGCTGTGGGAGTGTCCAGTGGTGTCTGCCCGGTGAGGGGCCGTGGAGATCACTCCCCAGACACACACTGGAATGGCACCGCCCAAGTCTTCAACCAGTGCTCCCAAAGGGGCCAGTGGTGTCCTCCCATGCCGGGGCCGTTTGTCCTGCAGGTCTGGACAAGAACGAGCTTGTTGACACACGGACAAGGACGTCCAGGCAACACCGTTAGTGAGAGTGCAAGAGGCAGCCACCATAGCGCCAGCGTAGGCACACATCCAGGAAGGACAGGGCTCAATGAACAACATGCAACAGTGCGGTGGAATAGTATGCAGCCCTAAAAAGGACCCAGGAGTCTCCTGTGAGCGGCGGAATCCCGAGGCAGATTGAATGAAGACAACAAGAGCGGTGGGTATAGTGTTTTGTAAGACAGGAGAAACCTTAGGTTTTGTAAGACAGGAGAAAAAATAAGAACACGTATTCTGATTTTCTCTTGAAGACTAATCCCAAAATTAAAGTAGCCAGCTAGAGGTCGGGGGTGGGGGAGGAGCTGTGTGTGTGCAGACTGCGGGAGCGGGAGGGACTTAGCACGAATTGCCTTGTTCTGGAATCACAAGGGTGCATTATCCACAAAAACTCAAAACACGTGCATGTGTATTTCAGAGGCTTGGTTTCTTCCTCAAGGGCAGAGGGCTCATGAGTCGCCTCCCGGCTAGGGACTGACAGCTGGAGGGGACGCCCACCCCGAGCTGACCAGGTGCCCAGCCTGGGTTCATCTGGGAACCTACAGGAGGGCCGCAGCCCCGGGGGTAGAGGGGAAGTGAGCAGTCTGGCCCAGGGCCGGGAGTCCCGGGGTGGGGACTGAGGGCGTGACCAGTCTTGGTGGGACTCCACCATCCGGGCAGGGGGCTGCGGCCCAGGCTGCAGCACTGGGCCCGGGAGAAAGAAGGGGTCACTTTACCGGGGACCGCAGCCTCTGCCCATCGTGCCCCAAGGAAGCCCCTCCTCCTGACCGCCTGGCAGGGGCCCCAGGCCCACGGGGCGGAGCAGGCGCGGAGCGCCCCCTGGTGGCGCTGGGTTAGAGTCGCGGGAGGGCCAGGGTGGCTGGACCACATTCCAGAAGCCCAGGTGGCCTGGAGGGGAGTGAGAAGGGGGCTGGCCACAACCAGAGGATCGGAGCCTGATGATTCAGGAGTAGGCCCTGGGGGCAGCGCCTGTGCCTACCGGGTGAGACCCCAGCCCAGGGCGTGGGAGGCGGGTTCAGCAGCAGCCCCTCCACCTGTGACAAGCCCCCAGCCCCCGCTCAGGCCTACCCAGCAGTGCTCTGCCGCAAGTTCTCCTGGGCTGGGGGGGGGGGGGGCGAGCCTACTGCTTTTGCTGCCCCCCCCTTCCACCCCGTCTGTCTCCCACATCCCAAGGCTGCCCACCTTGTTTCCAAATCTCAACTTCCCGTCCTAGCAGCTGGCGGGGGCAGCTTGGCTCGCGTGTGCCATCGGTTCCATGGTTTTTAGGACCCCTTTATTCAAAAATTAAGAATTTCTTTGCTATTTCCTATTTATTTGAAAGACAGAGGCAGACAGGCAGAGATTTGCCGGTTCACTTCCCAAATACCTGCAACAGCCAGCGCCGGGCCAGGTCAGGGCCAGGAGGAGCCTGGAGCTTGGTCTGAGTCCCCCACATGGTGGCAGGGGTCAAGGATTTGAGCCAGCACCTGCTGCCTCCCAGGGTGCAGACAAGCAGGAGGCTGGAGGTGGAAGTGGAGCTGGGGCTCGAACCCAGGCACTCCCATATGAGATGGGCGCATCCTAACCGCTCTACCAAGAGCCAGCCCCAGTTACTCAGAATTTCACGGTGACAACAGAGCAACAAGCCAAGTGTGGGCAGCACCCAGGAAGCCGAATGGTGCTGGAGGAGGGGCAGGTGGTGGAGGCAGCTGGGCCCCCACTGTCCATCCTAGGGTTGGGATTTGGGGCTCCCCTCACCTCATGGCTGTACCTGAGCATCTCTCTGGGGGCTCCCACGTGTGCAGGACAGTCAGGGAGGGCCTCGGAGCAGAGGGCTGGGGTATCTGAGCCAGCCTCCGTGGGCTTGATGAAGTGCATCCATGCTCTGCTGAACCCCACTGCAGGCCCATTTTGCAGATGAAGAAACTGAGGCATGGAGAAGCCGACAGCTGGACCAGCAGAGTTAGGATTCGCAGGCCTGTGCAGGAACCACTGGGAGAAAAGGAAGGGGAGGGGATCTGCTTATACCTGCCTGGGGATCTGGGGAAGTTAGAGTGACGGTGATTTGGGGAGAGATGGAGGCATTTGCAAGTGGCAGGGGTAGTGCGCAGGGGAAGCCTGGTCATCACCCCTCGCTCTATGGATGGGGGAGGCAGGGAGCTCACACCCCTGCTCTGAGCAGAGTGGGGCCCGGCTGGGATTTGAACCCAGGCAGGCAGGCAGGGGTCTGCTCTGTGGGCCACCTCTGAGCAGGCTGCCTGGAGCTGGCCGGAGCCATCCTAGCCCTGCTCTGCTCTCGCAGGCCCTGTCTCCGGGCGCCTCGGTCTCCCAGAGACCCCCGCCCCCTGCCCCTGTCAGCCTTGCAAGGCCAGACTCAGGCTGGGGGGGTGGGTCCAGGCTGTACTGTGGCGGGGCTCACAGAGCAGGGGGCTGTCAAAGGGCCAGCCTTGGAGGACGGGGGACCTGGCCCCCACAGGTGGCTGTCCTGGCCAGCCTGGCCCCTGTGGACCCTGTGTGCAGGGTCTCCTCTCGGGCCTGTTCCCCTCTCTCCAAGTCTTTGTGTCTCTGTCCCCTGCCCACCTGTGTCTCCTCCAGCCCTGCAGTGAGCCCCTGTCCCTCCCTCCCTCCCTCCCTCTCCACTCTGTGTCTCTGTAGCTGGGCACTTCTGGGCCGTCTGCCTCCTCCCCCCTCTGAGACCCTCACCCCATCTGGAAGCCCCCGGCCCCTTCCTTGGCAAGGTTCCTTCCCTCTCCAAGCTCTTCCCGGCCGGCCTTCGGGGCTGGTGGGGGAAGCACACTTCCCGGCGTCGCGCCTAATATCTTAATGCAAGGCCATTACTCAGGCGGAGCCCAGGCAGGGCAGGCCGCTGCCCTCCTCATTTGTCATCCAGAGTGAAGCCTCCGCGTCGTCCCTCTGGGATCAGATTAAGGGACTGACAGGCGGGGTGAGCGGATTTAGCTGCCACCGCCACCCCCGCCTCTTGGCTCCCAGAGCTGAGGGGGAGGCCTGGGGCCCCAGGGTCCTGCTTGTCACCCGCTCCTCCTCCAGTACCTGGCAAGGAGTTTGAGGTGGAGGGAGGCTTTTCTCCTGAGACAGGGAGAGAGGGAACAGGGCTTGGGGTCCACGCAGCTTGGACCCCGGGGCACTGGCGAGCACTTACGCACACTGTGAACAGCTGACACCATGGGTGGGCTTAGCCTGCCGGCCCTGCGCTCACTTATTCAGTTCTTACAGGAAGCCCGCGAGGTAGGTACCAGTCCTGGCCCCGGTGTGCCGGAGCTCTGAGAGGCTAAGCCACTTTTCCGAGGTCGCACAGCTGGGGGAGTCTAGGTGTCTGGCACAGCTTGGTGTCTTGTCTAGGAGGGGAGGGGTGAGGCTCATTCCCATTTTGCAGGTGAGAATACTGAGATCCAGAGCCCTCTGGCACGGCTCCGGGCCCCACCACGGTCCTGTTCTCTCTCTCTCTTTCTCTCTCTCTCTCTCTCTCTCTCTCTGTCTCTCTCTCTCTCGTTCCAGGGCAGAGGCCAGCTCAGCTCTGCCATCTGCAGTTTGTAAAGAAGACGGTGAGGCTCCCTGGCCTGTGTTTGCCTGCCAGTCTCATCTTTGGGATCTCACTGTCACCAGGCCTCTTACTTTGCAAGGGCAGTGTCCATCAGGTCACCTCTCTCTGGCCTTGTCACTGAGCACCTGCCACCACCGGGAACCCAGGGTCTGAACCAAGAGCTGTCTCTATGGGAGGGGCAGGGAAGGGGCCAGGGAGCCCACCCAGAGCTTCCTGTCGCTGCCTGGACATCAACTCTTCCCACTTTCCACATCAGCCCGTTCCCATAGTAACCACTAGCTTTCTGTCTCCTAGCAACCGAGTGGTCCCCCGAGGGGGGAGGCACCATAGTGGAGATGGGCTGACATGGAGGCCGGAGCAGTTGGGTTCACATCCGAGCTCTGCAATGTCATCACTGTGAGTGAGGTCTTTGGCAAGTCACTGGACCTCTCTGGACCTCCACTTTCCCATCTGTGAAATGGGAATGAGACTGTTCAAGGATAAGGATGCAGGACTGACAAACCATGGAACTCTGAAGACCATGCAACAGTGTGGTCATGACGGCCAGGGAGTGAACCCCGGGTTCAGATGGGAGCCCTGGGGTGCAGGAGCCCCCCCCATCAAGAACTCCATCCTGGCCCCTCCTTCGGATGGCCACAGTGGCTACCCTTTAAGTGGGCATCTTTGTGGAGCAGTCCCCCACCGTGGCAGCTCTGGGGTGAGATTACAGCGTGGTGGTGGCAGACTCTGATGCCCTACCCTTAACTGTACCCGCTGTGGCAGGACTTTTTGTACTTCCGGGGTCAGGTGTGGAGGCCGGGGTTCAGAGAGGTCGAGTTAGGCCCAGGGTCTCCAGCTGAGGACTGGCCGCGACGTCACATCTTTCCGGGGCTGTCTCTGTGGGCTGGGAAGGAAAGGTGGGGGCAGAGGGAGGAGGTGACCCAAGGATGGAGGGAGGCCAGGGACCCACCGCGGAGGAGCCCCGAGGACAGGGAGGGGGGACGTGGGCCAGGGACGGGGCCTGGACCGGAGCCAGAGCGCCACCCCCACCCCCGGGGGTTAGTGGAGGGAAGGGGACAGGGACAGGAGCCAATCACCCTTCCCAGCATCTGGGGGCGGAGGCTATGGCTCAGGGGAAGGGGCTGCACCGCGAGAGGCATGGGGAGGAGCCCGCTGCTGGGGAGGGGGTTCCAGCGCCCTGGTGGGCAGCCGCCCCGCCCCCCTTGCCAAGCCTCTCCCGGAGGGCGCCCAGTCCCAGGCCTTGGCCACGTCGCGGGGGGTGGACATGGACCTGTATTCAGACAGCCCCGTTCCCCGCCCCCAGTCCAGGCGAGACCCCCGTCCCCTCCCCCGCCCAGCCCCTCCCGGGGGTAAGAGTCGAGGTCGCTGCGGCAGCTCGGGCTGCTGATTCAATTAACTAATTCCCGACAAGACAGATGTGCAATTGCGCTTTGCCAGCCGTCAGGCTGAGATGGAACATCTCGCGGGCGGGGGAGCGGGAACGCGCGGGGGCGGGGAAGTGACGTCACAGCACGGCGGCTGACGTCATGGGCACTGGGTTGGGTGTCCCGCAGTGACCTGCCCCCGCCCTCAGGTCTTGAGCAGTGAGTGTGCGTTTTGTGAGCACACCTGTGTCTTTCGCCCTGGGGGGGGTCTCCCTGGGGTCGGTGGTTTGGCGCAACTAGGCTGACTCCTCAGGGTCTGACGCCCCCGCTCGCCCCTCCTCCCGCCCCCGGCGGGGCCCGGGTCTCTTACCTCGGCGGTGGCTTCTGCGGGGCGCTCACGGTTCCAGGTCCCGCCAGTCCTGCGCACACGCGCCTGCCTGTCCAGGGGCCCGGTCAATGCCTTGCAGAAGCTTGGAGAAGCCTCAGCTGCCCCTCAGCCAGGCTCCTGGGCCTCCCAAGGAGCAGGAGCGCCAGAGCCAGGTTGGGGAAGGGGCGGGGGGGGGGGGAGCCTTGTCAAGGACACCAGCAAGGGAAGGGAAAAAAAAAGATGAAGTGGAAGAAATAAAATCAAAAGGCTTTTAAGGCTGCTCTCCCCAAGTAGTTGATGTCTTGGCTGCGATTGCCAGCAATGAAATATTGTACTCTCTGATCGCTTAATGCACTGAGCCCCGCGCCCTCTCCCCCTGCCCGCGGCACTGCCTCCCCTCCCCCTGCAGCCGCCCCTCCCCTCCTTCAGGCAGGCCTGCCTCCCTGCCCCCAGAAGGTCCCACCGGGTGCGGGTGCAGAGGAAAGAAACAGCTGGTGCCCACTTTCAGCGTAGCAGTGACCGCCCCCCTCGCCCCCACCACTTGGCTGGGAGGGGAGGACCCAGCTGTGGCTGGGACCCCTGCCCATGCCTGGCAGTCCTGTGCCCAGGGCTCTGGGGATCTTCAAGGTGTGACATCACCCCCGCCAGAGGAGCAGGAAATGAGGTCCCCGCTCCCCGGTGGGCGGGGGGGTGGGTGCCCCAGCCAAGGCAGCCCGAGGGGCTGGTGCTGCGGGCCGCGGTGCTGGGCCGGTGTGGTGCCAGCAGGGATGGGTGCAGGAGGGTGTCCTGGCCTTGTGTTCAGCGGGAGCTGGGACGAGGTCAAAGGCTGGCTGGCTGCCTCCGCTCCCATTCCAGCGCCAGCACTTGCTGGCTCCGTGACCTTGGGCGAGCGCTGAGCCGCCGTGCCCGCTTCCACGCCGGGAAGGATGGAGCAAATAATAGAAGCGGCCTCGCAGGGTTGTTGGAGGATTAAAGAGAAAATATATGCAAAGTGCTTAGCACAGGCCCGAGCTCAGGAGGGGCCGTAATGGGGCTAATTATCCCCCTAATCTCCCCAATGGCTCCACCCCCTCCTGCCCCGCCAGGAGGAGCCGGACTGGGAGCAGGGCCCACAGCCCCTTCTCCTCCCCCTCCCCCCCTCTTCCTCCCCCTTTCTCACCCTGGCTCCCACACCCGCCCTGCCCCCAGAACCGTTCACTCTGTGAGCCTTTCTGTCAGGGCCGCCAAATTGGCCAAATCTCCGTAATGCTAAAAAATTGGTCCATTAGCTGCCAGGGAACATTGACAGGAGGGGGGAGCAGTAAGCACTGGCACAGCTGTGCCAGGGGCCGGGGAGGGGGCAGGGCTCCCTGGGGAGCCCGCCTTGCTGTGCCTGTGCCTGCGTGTGCCTGAGTGTGCACCTGAGGCTGGGGCACACTCCCAGCATCACCGCGTGTGAACCCCACGGCGGCCCTGAGAGGGTGGCCCTGCTCGTACTCCCATGTTACAGATCTGAAAACTGAGGCTCAGGGGCAAGGGCTCCAGCAGGGTGGCTCCGAGTGTCCCAGAGAATCTCACCCCTGGGCTCAGATCCCACTGGCTTCCCCCAAACCCTCTTCCTAGATGCCCCAGAGACCTCCAAACCTGCCATGAACCCTGCTCCCGAGGTCTGTGCCCTCCATCCCTGCGTGGGGCCTGGCCCTGGGAGACTTTCTCACTGTACCGGGGCAAGCTCACCTGCGAGGTACCAGCCAGTGGCTTCTCCAAGGGCAGAGATGGTGGGTATGGGGAGGTCAGCAGGTGCCTGGGTGTGCAGGGGTGGAAAGCTCAGGGCTTTGGGGCCCCAGGCTTCCTTAGACAAGGCCTGCTCACACCCCCATTTCCTGACTTCTGCCCTCCTCCTAGGGGATCAAATTTAGACCTCAGACAGCTGAGGTCCTCAACGCCATTGTCTGCACCTGTGGCTTAGAGAGGCCTGGTGGCCTGCTCACGGTGGCGTTCGCTGGTGCCAGGATTTCCTCTAGGCTGGGCTCACTCCCGCCCTGGGAAGCCACCTCGCTGGGTGCAGCATCCATCAGGGGGCAGGTGCAATCCTGAGAATGTCTTCAGTCATTCTTTCATCCCTAGGGCTGGCACTGGGCACCAGGGACACAGAGATGAACAATGCCAGGGCTGCTGCCTGCAGCTCGGGCAGACCCGCGGGGTCCCCACCCCTCACTCCAGGTCTGGTCAGCAACCCCTGCCTCTCGCCCTCTCCCTGGCTGCCTCCCTAGCTTCCTGCATCTCCTTCTCCCCACATCAGCCCAGGTTTGCTGAGTGGTGAGGTCACCACCCCTGCCTTTAAGAGGTGAGCATCTGGCGTCATGGGTTAAAGCCCCGGCCTGCAGCGCCAGTATCCCACATGGGCGCCAATTCAAGTCCCGGCTGCTCCACTTCTGATCCAGCTCCCTGCTAATGCGCCTGGGAAAGTGGCAGAGAATGGCCCAAGTCCTTGAGCCCCTGCACCCACGTGGGAGACCTGGAAGAAGCTCCTGGCTCCTGGCTTTGGATCGGCCCAGCTCTGACTATTGTAGCCATTTGGGAAGTGAAGTAGCAGATGCAAGACCTTTCTCCCTGTCTCTCCCTCCCTCTCTCTCTGAAACTCTACCTTTCAAATACATAAATAAATTTTATATTAAAAAAGAGGTGAGCATGTGCTCAGCACCATCCCTCTGCAGCCCCCCAGGTGCCCCATCTCCGGTCCCAGCACCCCCATCAGGTAGGGTGGTGGGTACCTGGCAGGTCCCTGAGATGCGGCAGGTCCCTCCACGTGTGCTCAGCTCTTCAAGGCTGAGTCCAGGCGTAAGGGAGGCTGAAGAGAGGGAGGTTGGTAGACTGGGGAGAGAATCTCTTCTCTTGGCCATATCTGTCCTGTGTCCTGAGAGGTCCCCAGGAGCCCAGCTGGGCCACTTAGTGCTCGGACTGCAGGTGCCCGTCACTAAGGTGATGGTGTCTGGAGATGGTACCTTTGGACATGACCAGGTCATGTCAGAACAGGCCAGGGCAGGACGAGTGTCCTTCCAAGGAGAGACACGACACAGCTGGGGTCCTCTCTGTTCTCCTCCAGGCAAGGCTGCGCCCCGGGATGCAGAACGTGACCTTGGCGCGACACTCTGACTGCCTCGGCCTTCAGCCTGCAGAACCCGGAGCAATGGACACTTCTTTCGGGTACAGCAGTCCCACACGGTCCTGCCCTCGGCCTGGTGAGGCAGCCCCCGGAGCCAGCGGGGCCCCGGAAAGCGAGGCTTGAGGGAGGTGGGGCAGCCTGGCCTCCCCTGGGCTGGAGCCAGAGTGGCCATTCTCACGTCCTGGTGGCACCCGCAGATTCTGCAAATCTCAGCCCAAGGGGAGGCTCGGCCGGGGCAGAGGAGCGTCCGGACTGGCAGCTCAGAAGTGGCTGGCTCCAGAGGACTCCCCGGGCGCTCTCCGACTTCCTTTCCCCTTCGCGTGTGGTGGCTGTGACCTTGACCCCGGGGTATCAAGCAGTTGAGGTCCGGTTCCTGCCTCGGCTCCCCACCGGCTCTGAGACCTGGGGTCTGCTCTTTCTTTGTAAGCCTTGGCTTGCCCCTCTGCACAGGCAGGGTGATAACACGGAGCTCTCGGGGAAGGTGATGGTGGTGGAGGGTGACAGCATCGTGATGGTGGAGAAGGGGAGGATGAGGAAGATGAGGGTGAGAGGAAGCTGGCGAGGCAGGAGTTTGGAGCGGGAGGGGCTGCTCAGTGGATCCAGCGCCTGTCCCATTGCAGCCTGACTCTGGCTGGCGTGAGTCTGGGCTCTCACACCTTTGGGAAATGTTTGTGAGTCGCCAGGGACTGGTCAGCAGGGGGCCATGGCTGTGCCCAGGGGAGGTGGACACTGCACAGCCATCAGCAGGGGTCCCAGGGCTGTGGCCGTTCCCACAGGGCTCCCAGGAGGGTCCGAGGAAGGCTGTGGACTTTTGGCAGACTCTGCAGGAGGGACCGTGGCGTGGGCTGGAGGGGCAGATTGACCCAGCGTGTCCATGGTGGGGTTAGACCCGTTCCAACCCAGCTCCTTCTCTGACCGGCTGAGGGTGTTGGCCATTGCTTCGTCTCTCAGAGTCACAGCTTTGTCACCGTCCCGCCACACAGGACAATAATTGGCTGTGCAAACCGAGTGGTCAGCGGATGCAACTGCCCTGAGGAGGTGGCCCCGAGATGTCCCTGACTCCATCAGCGTGGGCTTCCCACACTCTGGTGGGCTTGCCCTCACTCAGGATGCCCTGGGCTGGGGGCCCCTGGCAGGTGGCCTGGGCTCGGATGTCCGACCCGCCCGACCCTCTGTGAGCCTAGGCGCCCAGCTCTCTGCTGCCCCCGCCTCACAGCCCCCTCGCTCCCGCTCCACAGGCTGGCGAGAGCTCTGACGTGTGAAATAAAAAGGGATTTTAATTACCTCTCAGCAAAACAGCAATTAGAGAGAATCACAGCACAACAGCGGTCCCCTCCTCCACTCCCCCGCCAGGCCTGCCTCCTGCCCTCCGCTGGCCCCCGCCCATGCTGAGGCGGGATGGCACCGAGGCCCTGGCCCTTGGTCTGGCACGGATGAGCCACAGCTCCGAGCTGGGGAGGGGCCAGTGCAGGGCACCGAGAGCTGTGCTGGGGCAGCCCCTCAGAGGACAGCTGCCGGTCAGCCAAGCAGGGCCACCTTGGGGGTGGCTGGTAGCCCGTCCTTGGGTTCCGTGGGCACCACAGGACTAGGCATCCATGTCGGGTCCCGAGCACATGACCGGCACACGTGGACGCCGGGTGTGCACGGAAACCTGTCAGCAGCCTGGAGCAGCCGGCTCAGCCTCAGCCGAGCTGTTGCACATTACCCTGCGCAGGCTTTTAGAATAATTGCCTGTGACCCTGAGCACTTCTTCCCCGCAGCGGCCACCCCCCGCCCCAGGCCCCTGCTGCTGGGGTCGCAGAGCTGCGGTCTGCAGAGCCAGGGGCACCTGTGCTGCAGTCGGGGAGGGGCCTGGGAGGGCAGGAGGGGTGTCCCCACGGGTGGCCTGAGGCTGGGGGCGGCGGTGGTGGTGGGTGGCTGATTGAAGCGGTAATTGTAGGCAGCAGGCCCTGGCTAATGCGTGTTATGATTAAGCCCCATTACCGAGGGAGGCAGCTCGAGCATGGGGGCGGGGGCGGGGGGCGGGGAGCCTGCTGGGGGGATTGACTGACAGCCTTTCTCTTGGGGAGGGGAGCCAGCGGCCACTGCCACCTGTGCAGTCTCCCCCCCCCCCCAACCCCCGCCTGCCCCAGAGCTGCAGCGGCAGGAGCCTCCTGAGGTGGGGAGGGGGCCACAGACACATGTGCCCACACCGGGCAGCGGCTGCAGGCCCCCACCCGGTGGCCTGCCCCAGGGAGCTGCAGCTTTCCCGCCATTAACCTTGGGTGCCGTGGCTGTGGGTGCTGCCAGTTCACTGCAAGGGATCATGATCACGGGGGCAGGAGTCACTCTGGCTGTGACTGGACGGCTGGCATTAGGGGTCCCAGTCCCTCGCGAGGGCCTCAGGTGCCACAGACGCCAGTGAGGCGTCCTGCATCGCTGGCTGTGGGTGGGGGCAGATCAGCCCGCTGCCCCCCTGCAATGCGTGCAGGGGGAACAGGCCTCAGCCTCGGTCCTCTCAGAGGCTCAGAGTGGGTACACAGCTTTCCCAAGGACACACAGCAAGGGTTGGGTCGGACCCTGTGCTGCCCTCAGCTTGGCCACCCAGCCGTGTGAGGGCCACTCTCCAGGCCTCAGCTGCCTCCTCTGTAAGGCAGGGTAAGACAGTGCCACTCCTCGGATTGCTGTGGCTATGGCACGGTGATGGCTTGGCCCGGGAGGCCGCCCTAGCTCGTCCTTGTGGTCAGCAGAGGGCCCCTGGGATCCCCGGCCCCGGTGAGCCGTGCCCTTTTCCCTGTTACTGCAGCGAGCACGGATCTGGGCGCTGTGAGGGAGAGATCTTGGGGCCATAATTAACCTTCCAAACCGGTGGACCTTAGCAAAGGGAGATTGCTGGGTCTGGCCTGACCTAAGCACCCTTGCAGAGTGCCCGGCTGGTGGCCTTGGGGAAGACAGAGATGGCCGCACAGGGAGGATTTGATGGGGGCAGGTGTCCACTGGCTCTGCAGACAGAGGGCCACAAGGCGAGGGGTGTGGGCAGCCTCCAGGAGCAGACTGGTTCTGCCACTGCAGGACCCCGGGCCCAGGAGCACCACGGCCCTGGCCAACTCCTGGATCCTGCCCAGGGAGACCTGCGCGGAGACTCGACACAGGTGCCTGGCCCGCTGGCCTGCAGAAGCTGGGTGCACCATACCTTACCAGGGTGGGCCGAGGGGTGCCCAGGTGTCACAGTCAAGCCCGAATCTGGAAGTCTTCTCCCAGAGTCCCCAGTCCCAGCTTAAGGACTCTCCGACAATGGCCCCAGATCACACACAGGCTAGAGGGAGGTCTCCAGAGCCCCTCCGTCTCCCACGCCCCTGCAGCCCTGCACTCCCCTGTGAGGGACAATTAGTGGCTTGGCTTTAATTAGCTAACGATCCCCTTCAACTCCAATCACTTGAAATGATGACAGCGCAATGGGGGAAGGGACCTGGGCCCAGCGAAGCTGTGAGCCGAAGAGGCGCTTCAGGTCCTGTCGGCTTCTCGGCCATGGCCAGCCCCCGGCTGTGGGCCGTGGTGACCCTGGGAGGAGGGTGCTGGGGCCCTGGGGTCCGCTGTGCCACTCCATGCAGCCCTCGTGGCCTTGTCTGCAACCTGCAGCAGAAGCTGAGCTGCCTGTCCATCGAACGGCTAGAGCAGGCCTCAGACTCTCCTCCCCCTCCTCCTGGCCCCATGGGGTTCTGCCAGCCTGGCCCCCACCTCGACTTTCGGCCTTGGGGGTCAAGGCTGGGCAGGAAGGATGAGGCCGCAGGAACGGCTGGGGGACATTCTCGTGACAATACGGTCACCAAGCAATGTCCAGGGGACAGAAGTTCTGTGCAGGATGCACTCCGCACAGCAGGCACAAAACCCCAGGGCCTCTGCAGGTGGGGAGATCCAGGAAGGGTCTTTGAGGGCGGGGGCATCCAAGGCCCCAGCTGCAAGCCCTAAGATTGCTTCCTTGGCCAGCGCCGTGGCTCAACAGGCTAATCCTCCGCCTAGCGGCGCCGGCACACCAGGTTCTAGTCCCGGTTGGGGCGCCGGATTCTGTCCCGGTTGCCCCTCTTCCAGGCCAGCTCTCTGCTGTGGCCAGGGAGTGCAGTGGAGGATGGCCCAAGTACTTGGGCCCTGCACCCCATGGGAGACCAGGATAAGGACCTGGCTCCTGCCTTCGGATCGGCGCGGTGTGCCGGCCGCAGCACGCCGGCCGCGGCGGCCATTGGAGGGTGAACCAACGGCAAAGGAAGACCTTTCTCTCTGTCTCTCTCTCTCTCTCACTGTCCACTCTGCCTGTCAAAAAAAAAAGGATTGCTCCCAAGGTCTCTGGGCAAAGCCAGCCATGGCTCCTGCCCTGTGCTGGCCTGGATCGGCACCCGCAGCACAGTTCTTGGCCAGAGAGAACAGTGTGGGGTGGGGGTGGGGTGGCGGTTCTGAGCTGCCTTTACCTGGGTTTCACCCGTGCACCTGGGGAGCTGTCCTTTGGTCCGTTAGCTCACGGTGTGCATGTCCCTGAGACGTGGGCTCAGATCTCAGCCACAGAACTCCTGAGCTGAGTGACTTCCTTCCCTGCTCTGGGCCTCAGTTTCCCCTCTGAACTGGAGCCAACCACAGGGTGCACTCGGGGGGCCTCCGGCAGCACTGGGTGTGGAGGAGCAGGTGGAGGGGTCAGTCCAGGGCCTGGCACTCGGGGGCTGCTTCGTGCATTGTTCCAATGGCAGCCCCTCCAGCCCTGTGCACCTCCCAGGGCCATGCCCAGGCTCCGGGCTGGGTATGAGCTGCAGGGACAGGGACTGCCACCCAGCAGCCACTCAGCTGGGGAGCTGCATAGCCCTGCAGCCTGTCCATCAGGGTGGCCCTAGACGGACCCAAAGGCAGGACATAGGGCCGGAGACCAGGCCCTTGGACCACGTGGATGGCTTGAACCCAGGCACGGAGGCTGAGGAAAAGGCAAGGAGCTTGGGGGCCAGAAGCTGGGCTCAGACCATGGGGCCCGGGAGCCAGGGGTTCACAGGGGAGTGAGGCAGAGGGCGAGCTTGCAGTGGTACCCTGGACAAGGCAGGAAGAGGGACCGAAGGCCCA